TTCCCAATTTTGTTTCTGAAAATTATTTTAAACTCAGAGTAGTGTAAAAAAAACATGCATGTCTCCAACACACTCAAATAACCAATGTTGTGACTAAATGTGTATGCACTATTTTGTTTTCAGAACATCATCAACTTCGTCACAGCTCCTTCTTCTTAAATATACCAGGCTGAGTAACATGTGACTCTGTACTTGCACTAAGATCACTTGTAGTTACCATACAAGCCACAATATATAGTTAGCAATCTATCTTAAATATGTACCATCTCCTTCCATGCCACATCTGAAACCACCGTCATTAATCCCCTTCTTTCCTCTAATTTCCTTTCCTTCATGTTTGGCATGCTACCTCTGAATAGAGGAACCCCTCATCCCACAGCAGCACAGGAGATCTTGGCAGTAGTCTTCATGGCAAGTATACCCACTCCTTCCCAACTTATAAATTATGAAATGCCCCACAATGTGAGGGTTTGGTTTTGTTTTAATGAGTTTGGCTGGCATAAATCAATCCGTGAGCAGCTGGACATCAACATTACTATTAAAGTGTGAGAACTAACACTAGCCCACCATGGTAAAGTAAGTACTTCATAAGGACAGACCAAAAATAGAAGCCCTGTTATATTTAAACTCGCATGCCTCTTACTTAATTACAGAATTTCAAATCAGCCCAATGCAAAACATTTCCTTTTCCTCTACCTGGCCAATTCTCACCAATCTGAGTAGCGAACAGAGAACATGAGCCCATGAATCATCTGACAGGCCATCCCTAGGCAGGATGAGGCATACACAGTAGCAGTTATGATCGAATCTTGTTTCCTCTCATTTTAAACAAGGAATTGACTATTAACAGCAATTATGTCTGGGAGGTGGGAGTCAGAATGACTTTTATTTTTATATTTTATGTACTTCAATGTAGGTTGGATTTTCACAAAGAGCATGGATTTTAAAATAAAGTATTTCCATTTTTTTAATTAATTTTTTTTTATTGCATTCAGAGAGGGAGAGGGAGAGAGAGATGTAAATATCAATGGTAAGAGAGTTGTTTGGCCGCTTCCTATATCGAGCCCACAACCCGGGCATGTGCCCTGACCTCCTGATTCATAGATCGAGCCTCAACCACTGAGCCACACCAGCCGGGCAAAGCACTTCCATTTTGAGAGAAAAAAAGGGACATGAATCACTTTTAATTTGGTTCATATAAGAATATTCTAGCCGAAACCGGTTTGGCTCAGTGGATAGAGCGTCGGCCTGCGGACTGAAAGGTCCCAGGTTCGATTCCGGTCAAGGGCATGTACCTGGGTTGCAGGCACATCCCCAGTAGGAGATGTGCAGGAGGCAGCTGATCGATGTTTCTCTCTCATCGACGTTTCTAACTCTCTCTCTCCCTTCCTCTCTGTAAAAAATCAATAAAATATATTTAAAAAAAAAAAAGAATATTCGAATAGACCTGGCCGGAGGGACTCAGTTGGTTGCAGTGTCATCCGTACACTCTCACATCGGATGTCTCTCTCTCTCCTCTCTCTCTAGAATCAATAAAAGCATGTGGAGTGTGGATTTAAAATTTTTTTAAAGAGTATTAGAATAAATAATTTCAATATTTTATGGTAAGGGATATTAGCACAAGAAGAAAATATCAGTAGAAAACACCCTACAGAGATCAGCAAATGTTTTTCAACTATACCTCGATTTTTAGGGACGACAACAGATTGTAACTCAAAAATAAAAATCTATGGAACACTTTCTGCATTTTATCCCAAATGCTTTCCTCCCCATTTCGAGCCAGAAGGTTAATAGCAAAGGCTTAGCACTTTTCCTGGCTAGAGGAGAGGCCTGAAAGCAGGCACTCTGTTCTCCTACACATTCGAATGGGAAATAGTGCTAAGTACAAAAGTATAGTGGTGTTAACGCAAAATCAAAACACAAGGTCCAGAGCAAGTGGCTGAGGCTGTGTTCATGCCCTGGGAAGGTCCTGGTTTAACACTGTTTCCATTTTCTCGGACAATGATGCCCCAGCCCCCACCCCAAGGTAGGCCACTACGTAGGAGTGGGAAGAATTGAAAGGCTTCAGGAGGACTGCTCAACCTGAGTTATTCTATGAGATGAAAATTTGGTCATAACAGACAAATGTGCTTTTAAAATAAATATAAGATGTTATCTGAAGGCTCTACTGCGACTGTCCTTCTTTGCCACTATGCTTTAACTTTATTTAAGATGTTATCTGAAGGCTCTACTGCGAACTGTCCTTATCAATCTTTGGAGAAGCATTTCTTTGCCACTATGCTTTAACTTTATTTAAGATGATGACGCTCCCATCTGGCTCCCAAAGCCATTCAGTTATTATTGAGACTTTATCAGATATCCAGCAAGTGATGTGGAGGAAAGTTTTGAGGTTCTGCTGGCCAGTCCTCAGTCAAGCTCCATCACTTTGTATCCCCACTCTCCCCATCATATCCATCCAGCTGCAATGACAGAGTTTCACAGACTCTGAATGCACTGTTTCAAATGAGAAGGCAGTGATTGCTTTGAAACTGTAAGAACTGCATCCTTCTCCGCATCTGCTCCAGAATGGCCTGAACTTCAGCGCAAGAAACTGATTCCAAGTCTCCCCAAAAAGCCTGGACCCACCCTTGGGTGTGAGTGTCAAAGGGAAATCTGTTCCTGGAACAGTTGTCCTGCTGTGATGCACACTGTAGGTGGGGAACACACGTGGGCCAGGGGAGACCGTGCAGGTACCGACCGCGCGGGTGGAGGGATATTATTACACACACACCGATCTCCTACCGCCTCCAGCAAACATCAGGGGCTTTCGCCGACAGCTCCCCGACGCTCCTCTCCCGGGAAATGTCATGTCAACCTCTCCGATCACATGCAGACAGATGCGTGGTTAGATAGAACGGGAGAGTGGGAGGCGGCTGAGCTCAGATCCAAGCCTACACGCCTCAGCGGCGACGACTCCACTCCCCACCCCGCGCCCTCGGCGAACACGGACACAACTTCTAGAAAGCGCCCACCCTGGAGCGAAAGCACTTCTCCCAGGAAAGAGACACTTTCCGCTGAAAATCCCCAAACCCGAGACCCGACACTTTCTACCGAACAAAAAGCTTGTGTGCCGGCAAGAGGGGGTGGGAAAGAGCGTGGCAAGAATTTGCGCGGCTTTCCGCCTCCTCCTCGGAGCGCGCCCAAGTCTGCGGCCTCGGCGCCCGGACGCTTCCCCTCCCAC